CCCCAAAATAATGATTTTTCGAGTGATTTCTTAAAATTAAGAAATCATCAGAATCTACTAGAAGTCATGGGATCACAAAAAATTTAAAAAAATCATGATTTCCAATTCTTATTGAGAAATCACAAAAATCATTTAATAAATCACAGGAAATCCTCTCATTATGGGAATCTCTGAGCCACCCGATTGAGAAATGACCAGCCCCTCATTAAATGACAGTTTCTTTTTGAGTTTTTCATATCAGAATTATTCCTATATTTTGTTCTAAAAGTTGAGAAAATTTCTGACAAATATAATGGGTTCAATTTTTTCTTAATTCTTATTGGGTTGTAATTAGAGTTGAAAAACAAAAGTTTTTAGAAGAAAAAAATATTCAGTCTTCAATATCTCTGCCAATAATTGAGTTAGAGAACTTCGTTTGTGTTTTCTTTCCTTTTTTTAGACTATACTTTCCGATGAAAAATGTCGACAAACTTTTAAAATTTTGGAGCAATTTTTCGTATACAGAATTGGCGAATTCGCTCATGTATGTATGTATCTATGTATGTATTTTCTTATTACGGATCTATCGAATTTCATGAATTATTTCAAAATTTTCAAAATTCTCAAAACTTTTCCAAATTTTCAAAATTACTCAAAATTTTTAAAAATTTTCAAAAACTTTCTAATTGTGCCAAATTTTTCGAAAGTTTTCAAAATTTTCCTTCTATGGGGGTCTCTCGAAGTTTATGGAGGTCCTGTAGGGGTCATGTGGGAGTCTTATGGCGGTCTTACGGGGTTTTAGTGGGGTTTTATAGAGGTTATATGGGGGTATTATGGGGTTTCATGGGTCTTGTCGTAATCTTATGTTATGGGGGTTATATGGTGGTCCAAGGGTGTCTTCTGAAATATCTATGGGTGTCCTATGAGGATCTTATGAAAGGCTATGTTTTTCTTCCAATGAATATGGCCAATCTTCCTCTTTACGCTAATCTCCAAGGTTTCTTCGTGCGAACCGAAAAAAAGATTACGACAAAAATATCTTCGTCCTAGAAGAACAATGAATTATATTTGGTACAAACAAATCATGTGCAAAATAACCATTCGGAAACATATTGCTAATTTATTAGCAAAAATGACTATACTGTATACAATACAAGAGCAATTTCCCACTTGTTTTCATGTGATAGAACTTTCGTTTCCAGTTTCCTTTCGCGCAATAACGTTATTCGACTTTCGTTTCCAGTTTTGTTTCCGGCAATAACGTTATTCGACTTTCGTTTCCAGTTTCGTTTCCCGCAATAACGTTATTATTTCATTTCCTTTGCAAGGTCGGAAACGAAACGAAAACGGAAACGCGTTTCCAGTCCCGGGGTTTCTGGTGTTGTTTAGGTTTTTCTCGTTAGGAGCCGACGCATCGCGATGTCCTCGACATGACTCCTGGGTTAAAAGCGGAGAGGGGTTGCTTTCACAATTTAACAATATTGTGTTGTAGAGGAGAGGAATTGATTCATCTTTACCTGGAGCAATTTTCCCTTGAATTTTGGATTCTATCACATTATACCATTCCATAATAATCATACAGTGAACAATAATGTATAAAGTTACCGAAAATTTTCAAATTTTTTCGGTCAAATCAATTGAGCGGTGTATTGTAGTATATTACCAATGTAAACAGCCGTGCCAATACAAATCATGGTAAAGAGTGTTCATGACGAATGAAATAACATCAAAATCTGTTACAAGTGAAAAAATCATATTTCGCATACCACATGAAGTAAACAATAAATTCAATTCTCCCTATAAAATAGTCTTTGAAATATAATCAATTTTACGGCCAATTTAATTCAGTTTTGATACAGCATTAATTCTTGCTTCAACTGCTCCCCTCCTCGTCTCTCTCTCTTACTCTTCTCCTCGCGATGCATCTTCTCTTCGCGATGCATCCTTTTATTTCCTCATCACGACGAGTATTTTGGAAAGGAACAACAAGGATGAAATTATTTGGATAACTATAAACTGCACTGTAGATTTGAACACTTTCAAACATCAAATTTGTAAATTAAATTGCTTGTAAATTAAATGGCTTGAAAAAAGTTAAAAAAAATCGAACAAAAAGACAGAAGGAAGGTCATAAGAATCACAAGGGAGGGTCAATCGAAAAGATCACAAAAAAGATCAGTCACAAGGGTCACAAGGATCATAAGGGTAAAGAAAGGAGCCACAAGGGTCGTTGAGGTTCAGCCTTTTTTCCCAAAGTCCTTTCCCCATTTTTTTCGAATCAATTTTTTTTTCCGTAACCTTTTTTCACGCTTACATTGAAAGAATAAATACAAAAATTCGATTGGAATTAATTTCAGTTCAACGAAAAGTTTCTCTTGAACATTCATTGTCATATTAATTCATTTGAGTGTACACAATTGGAAAATTAATCGACGAAATAATTGCTCTCATTTTTCGAATCTAGTCCCAAATAATAAAATTATGGATTCCATACCCGTTTTAATCGGAGTGACCGTATTGCATCCAACTATAAAAACATGAAAAAGCAGAATTACACGTCAAAATTCTCATTGAATTCCCGTTCAATTGTTACTCAATCAGATGGATTCAGATTAAAACTGTCGCGTAATGAAATAGAAATAACATCTTTCACAACTCCCGCATGAAGCCATCATGAATACAATTGTTCTCTTTTTAATGTACATGCATGTTTCTGATTATACTGGAATTTAACACAGAGGGTACTCTCTAATGCCGAATGAAATTAAAAGCCCAACCAGGTGTACAAAGCACTTGCTACCAGGCGGGCTGTGACCCAAGGGCAGAGGAGGACGAGGGGAGGATGGAGAGCACACACGACTCTCCACAATCACAGAGAAATGGCGTGGCTAATGGGTCATGTCCAGAGGTGAAATGAACAGTTGTAGCTAAAATGAATCCCACAATTCTCTCTCCGAAATCACGACTGTTACTAAGTGTACATTCGTAAATGTTGTCCATGTTATTGTAATTGCATTTATCAGCTGTGGGTTGAATAAATTTCGTGGCGTTGTGAAAATATTTTCTATCTCACCTGAATTGGTTTATTTCACTAGTTGAATTGATGTCATTGGTGAGAATTATGGAGATTCAATTAGGGCTGTTGTCATTTAGTAAATTTTCATTTGAAAAATATGATGGATGTATACCGATTTTTTTATCCCAAAAACTGGCCGACAAGTGTACTGCTGTCCAAGATTGTGAATGCCTCAAACCAAAATTCTTCCAGAAAAAAACTTGACTACTATGCCCGGTTCGAATCCCATCTCCGTCCCATTTTTCCATCGTCTCATTGACTCAGCCAGCGTCAACGTGCAATTAATTGCCTCGTGATACTTCACGGCTTTGGCAACATATTTTTCACATAAAAATATTACACTATTCAATATAGTTCAAAATTCGTTGAATTTCGACTTTGCTATACAAATGCGTCAACCCCAGATTTTGACTCTTGCGAAAAGTCCTCTGATGTGCTGAAAAAAACAGCTTCGGATTGTTACGTGATTACCAAAAATTTGGGCGAATAGCATCAAAAATAGCTATTTCGAAATCGACGTAAAAATTCCGAGGATTAGGAAAAAGGTTCCGATTAGAGCATTCCTCCATAGAACTCCTGAGCATCTCCTCATAACGACGGCTGCTAAAGGAAACTACGTAAATCAGAAAACATTTTCAAACTCAAATATGTGAAGATGTTCTTAATTCAAGTATCTTAACAATATTGACTGAAACTTTGTATCTCTGAGGAGATGACAAAAACCAAGTATTTCAGAGAAAATTAAAAAATACATAACTCAGTCATTCCGATTAAATACCGCCCAACTCAATCAATGCCTTTACGATTATTATTTTATCTCCTTGCATAGAGTTCCTACGGATATTTTCATATACTTTCTTGTTTGGGGAATATTACATACCGGTCGTCAGTTGTCATAAAACCAAACCTGTTATGGCTTTGCGAATACTCAATCAATTCAGTAATTGGTAAATTGTTGTCATTTCACTTCTTTTAACATTAATTTTTCATGTAGTTGGATAATGAAGGGATTGGTGAATCATTTTGAAACTACTCATTCATTTTATCCAATTGATTCTTTATCACTCTATTCATTAATATTTACGAGAATTTTTCCACTTATCGACATTAGTTTTTCGGCATTAGCGTTCTGTATGAGTGGGTGACTAGGGATCAGCTAAGCCTGATCCTTAAAAGATTGATAGACTTGATTCATAGAGACCAGATTTCTTCAAGCAACAACAAAACCTGCAAAAATTTAGGAGCAAAGGATAGGAGCGCCGAATTTTATTCATAGGTCACCAACGAAACTAAACGAAGATTAATCAGCGCTCCTGAGTTACGTGTTTCTGAATTTTTACTGAGGTACTTGGTATCGGTCATCTCCTCTAAAATACAAAGTTGTAGTCAATACACGTGAGATACTTGAGTTTAGAACGAAATCTTGAGATACGTGGTTTTGGAAATGTTTTTTGAGTTACGTAGTTTCCGTTAGGAGCCATCGATAAGTACTTTCAGTCTTGCTCGTGAATTTATAAGGAAAAACCTCAATTTAGTTTAATTTGAAAATGATTTTTAGAAAGAAGGTGGTGAAGTGAATGATCCCGGACATCTACCCGGTTATCCATATTATTATGTCATGTCCCCAAAAAGTTATAAATCCACAATGGACAACACGTATGACAAAATTCGGTAGAAAAACCTAGGGAATTCACTGGACAATTCTATGCCATTTCCAATGAATTTTCTATTAGTTTTTGGTTGACTATTGAAATGTTCAATAGAAAATATTCTATAAAAACGTCAAGAGAATTCGCGTTTTCTCTACAACTTATCTCGTTGAGATATTTTCTATAGAATTTCCTCAGCTCAAATTTTCCAAGTTTTTTATTTGATTTCCTTGGTGAAAATAAAAATAGTTGAATGTGTTATTAATAAAAGAAACAACACAAAACAACGATAACAATTAAATAATTAAAAAACTCATTTATTTTTATCCAACGCCATACACACCTTTACATCTACCTGGTGTAAACAAAAAAAAATTAATTGAAAAAAAATTGGAGTTTCTCGACTCATTTAATATTAACAAAAGGAATCTACTCCTTAATGAAGCCATTCCTTACTCTCATCAACTTGTACCTCAATTATAAATTTACAACTGACAAGAGAATACAAAAGTAACTTTCCAACCCAAATCTGGAAGTTTCCCCCAATTCCCCTCTCATTACCATAATTCCAAAGTAACAAGTGTTAAGACTCAGACAAAATGTCTTCGAGAGTTTTGTCATCGTGTAAAGGTGAGTGCCCAAGGGTGGGATCACTCTCCAAAAATTCCCTCAATTCAGACTCGAGATCTGGAACTCCAGTGGACTCATTCGGCCCCAGTAACCCAGACTGATTGTGAGATAAGCCAATTTGGATCTGCATCGGTGTTTGCGATTGGCTGACTATGCCAATTATTGGATTTGTTTGACTACCAGGACTCATGATGGTGGTTTGCATTGGTGACGCTGTTTGTATCATGCTAGAGACCTGATTGTTGTTGATTTGTGGTACAAGAGTGCTTTCAGCTACAATCGTGGGGTTGTGAGTAATTGGTTCTACTTCCATTGGCTCCGGTCCACCGACTGGAGCGATGCCCATGGCACGTCGAAGGCCGTCCACTGGGGCAATCGCTGATGGAGGTAACTTCTTGGCGATTGTTGTTAAATTATCGGTGATCTTCTCAGCAAGGGCTGTTTCAACCTCTGGTGCCTTGGGAACGTTGGACAAGTGCGCCGGAGGAGGTGCTGACAGACGATCATGTTGGGCTTGCCTCAGACGACCCAACATCTGGGATGTGTCGTCCAGACGAGACTGAAGAGCTGCGCGTTCCTCAGTTGATTTCAATTCCTCTTCTGTAACAATAATTTGGAAAGTATTAATGGGATGAAGTTGTCGAAGATGAAGAACCAGCTTACCGTATTCTTCTAAAAAGTTGACATCAATCCCCAGCTCCGAAAGCGTCTTCAGTTGATCGACATCAACCTTCACGTTCTCCACTTGTGTGTTCCTATTGACCTCTTGAATAGGTTTTTCCAACAGGTGCTTGATCTTCTCCTCCTCCTCTTTCAGTCTTCTCTTCTCCTCCAGCAACTTCTTCGTCTTTCTGTGATCCCCACTCGTCAGAATATCCAATAAATCATCAACCATCGTTAGTGTATAATCACAATCCTTTGCGAAATCTAGAATCGATTCAGCATACTGCACTGCAGTCTCATCTCCATAAGTCGAATAAACCAGCTCTGTCTCCTCCTTCGTGAGATTCGCAAAAGTTGAATCATAGCTCGGTGCATAAGATCCGAAAGCTCCGTAATAAAGTGGCTTAACAGGCTTGGACATATTCCTCCTGTCTTCTCGGAAACCAGCAAGAGATCCCGTTCCATGGCTTAATTTTCCTATTAATTGACCCAGGGAGACAGGTCGCTGATTAGTCCCGGGGATGACACCATCTCCATGCACGATGATCTGTAGACTGGTGGTTCCATCCTTCTTCTGTCTCAAAAATCCCATCTTCGAGTTGATCCTCTTCATTGATAGTTTGTCCGAAGCTGTCTTAGCTGCACTCCTCGCCTGCTTGAGAATCTCATCCGGCGTGAGATCGTCTGGAATCGCTTCAAACTTTCCTAAACTCGCAAGTCTCATCTTCCTCTGATGCTCCTTTCTCAACTCTTCAGCCTCTTCATTCCTTTCCTCTTGTTCCCTCTCCTTCTCGATCTGCTCCTCAGTCACCAGAACATCGGGATTATTGGGGTCCTCCACTCCAAGTTCGAAGCCTAGTTCGTCCCTTGGGATATCGTGCATGTAGGTCAACACCGGTCTCAATTGCCTCAACTTCTCTGGTGTCACCATTTTCAAACCAACATGGAGGAGTTTCTTCGCCGCTTTGTAGTAGATTGTTTCAGGATGGTTATAGACCATCGCATTGTCACACATGAGTTTGAAGTCCTCCACAAATTCGTTGACATTTGTGTAGATGTTGTCTTCGATCTTCTTGTTGATTGTGCTGAAGTCCATGGGGTTGGTGATGATCTGGGAGTATCCTGGGGCGAAATTATCAGTCACTGGCCAGGCGAAGAACTGCTGAGGATCCCTCTTCTCCATCGAGCGGAGAAGGTGCTCCAGAAGTCTCTGAAGAGGCGTCTTCTCCGCTATTTTCTTCAGCACACATGTTCTCGGTTCTCGATGAGGCGAGAGGGAGCTACTTGACGCTAGTTTCGACGGCACCAGATGAGCGACTTTAGCCGGAAGCTCAAGAAGGCTCTCATCGGCATCGCCAACTGACTCCTGAGAGGATTCCTCTCTTTTTCGTTTCTTGTCCTTGTGGTGGTGCTTGTGGCGTTTATCCTTCTTCTTCTTTTTCTTCTTTAACTTTTTGTGACCGGCTAAGTATCTGTCGTATTCATTTTCATTTTGGGTTACTGAGTAATTCATACCCAACTGTTGGTACTGTTGGGAGAGCATGGCTGATTGACTCGGGGAGTCGTTACCGTACTCGGGAGTACCGCTGCTGCCACCAACTTTTAGGATTAGTTTTAGGGCTGGTGGTTTGTCCGGTGTTAGGAGGTCTGTTGGATTGAGAGAGTATCATTTGTTTGGGGGAGGGTTTCAACAAGACTTTAAAGAGATTTGTGGTGGATGAAGCGCCTAGGGTCTACGACAATTGGATGGTGTGCGGTGAGAAAAAAGTTTTTTGGTAATGGAGAAAGGTTGAAAAAAATTTTGTAAAAATTATGAATTGATGAATCCAATGTTTGTTTTCTCGGACTTCAGCTGATTTTCTTCTCCAACGAAATAAAAACTTTTTCCTCAATTTTATGTGCATGCAACCAGGGCGCGTTTTGAGGTGAATGTACAGAGCAATGAGATCGAGCATGAATACAGTATGTTATAGTGGGTAGAGCTGCCGAAGCTAATGAACGAAAAGTTTGTTTTAATGAATAAATAATAATGAGGGTTGGATGATCAGATATTAGCATGAAGAAGTATTGAAAAAGCTGGCTCTAGACGTAAATGTAAATGGCCTTTGTCTTCACTTTCAACGAACTGGAAGCGAGTTGGAAGTAGATTTACTCAGTTGGAGATTAATCCACTGTGTCAGCATTTTCAATTTCACAAAGAAATCATAGATGTTGATTAATTAGTGCCTTTGGGGTACGATATAACGAATATACTGATCGCTATTGAAATTGAAAATACCTCTCAAAAGATTCAAATAAATAAGCAAAAGCGAACGTGGCAACTCTGCCACTAAACAAAACAGCCAGTTGAAAGAGTTTTTATTCTCGATTATCGATTTCATTTCTTTTTTGCTGATCGAAGTGCAACATGGAATTGAGTCTGGTGGAGTCTAATTTTTTTTTTTCAAGCAGAAATTGGTAAGGAAAAACACTGGGTGAGTATTGATTGTGTCGTACTTCAACCGGTGTGGAAATAAAGGACAAATGTATGTAGAATAATATAAAAAAATATGGATGGGATATTCCATCGAATTCTATACGCAATTCTGGCCTCTATTTTTTCCACAGTTTTTCTTTCGGAAATATTCAGATGATCTACGAAATGTTTTGTAAATCACATAGTCATCTCTCAAAAATCTCTATAAGTTTACGTGAAATATCAGGAATGGAACGTAAATTGTAAAACAAAAATTCAAAAAAAATTTGATCCAGAAACATTTTCTCATTTTTTGAAAACTTTTCAGGAGAAATTACGTGAATAATTGGGAGTCCATGCCTCGAAATGGAATTTTTTTATAGTAGAGTTGTTTTCCCGTTTTTTTCAATTATTAATTAACAGAGGAAAAAAATCTACTGATAATTTAGTGGCCGAATTTGCGAACAGAATCTGGCAGAATAACCCACACATACTAAGGCTCAGGGATACTTTGGGGACATTAGAATAATTTCCGAAGCACAGTCTAGTTTCTCGTGCAACAAAAAAAAGAACTAGTCTGAGGTGTTCCGGCAGTTACCCCTAACTTACTTCCACGGTCGGGCTTCTTGCTTTATGGCAACCTTCTATATTTTTCCAATGTCACCCTTTAACTTCTACTCCAACCTCACTCTCAGTTTGTCCGTGGTGAAAACGTAGTCAATAATCCTGTACACCATTTTAAACTATGAGTACAAGAGGTAGGATTGAAATTGCAATTTTTGGGGGTATTAAGGCAGGTTCCTGATGAAATAATTCAACTTTCATGTTCAATTTCATTGACTAATCTTTTCTTGGAGTGGAAAATGTCCAATTTTCGCTGTAAATTGCATGTTTTCATAATTTTTGAAATTTTACAAGCAATTTTAATCAAAAAGAAATAAGAACAGAAGAAATTTTTTTTGTCTGCCTTTCGACTGAATGAATAAATATTTGATCAAATGTGTAGACGCATATGGGAATTGCACAGAAAACCATTTAGTCCTTTGGCGCCATGTTTACGATTTTTCTCAATTTTCGAAAGGTTTTACTACCGCCTTTAATATGATCCTGTATGAAATTTCAGCAGTATAACTCGATTATTGCCCGAGAATCATGCCATTTCGTAAAGTTGCGCTTTTAGACTTAATTTTTTTTTATTGGCAAAGTGATTCGTCTAAAAAAATCTTCAATATATTTTTTCCGGAAAAATTCTGCACTTTACAAAAAGAAAATGATAATAGTGATTTTCCAATTTCCCGTTAGCATCATTCTTTGATGAATACCTCCGAATTAGAGGGAGATACCGAAGTTTTCACTACAACATTTATTATAGATCTCATTTTGCTCTACAAAAAAGGTTCTCGCAAAAAACTCGATATCTCGCTTCAATTTCGAGATATTACAAAAAACTGACTTACAAGAAAAAATTAATTTTCCGTTTTCCCCGGGTTACCCCTCTTGCTTCACAGCACCAATGAAGGATTTCATGACCGAGTCGGTAAGGCGTCCGCCTACAAAGCCAGAGGTCCTGGGTTCGCAACCTGGCACCGGCGAATTATTTCTGGATTATTTGATTTAGTCAAATAATACAAGGACACCATTAAGAATGTTTGAAATAAAACGTTAAAATACCGAGAGAAAGTAGAATTGAGCATGCTCGAATCATGTACATACAACCTACAGTTTCCCGTGTGTGGAGAACCTAACTGACTACAGCCGATTCTCACCATCCCAGAGACATTTTTGTCCAGAATGTGATTACATTCTGATCATTCATTTGAAATACTGTCATAACATCGTAGCCTACAAGTTACAGAGAAAATAGTCGTAAGCTCTAATGACAAGAAAGAGTCGAGAGCACGTCACTAATAACTTAGCTGTTGCTGTGACGTTAAACCCCACCAAAAAACAAACAATATTTCTTTTGGAAAAATTCAGAAAATTTGCGACCAAATCTATAGTTCCGCATATTTTTTTATGAATTATAGTACTGCATCATTCCAATTGAAAAATTTAGTTTTGAAGAAAAAAAATTAAATCTGCCATGTCTTTGACAATCTTTGACTTATAGAGCTGCAGCAGCGCTCATTTTTCTTCTTTTTACTTGTATTTGAAGATGAGAAAATAAAAATGATACCAAAAATGTTGAGGCAATATTTTATTTGATAGAATCACTTATATTCAAAAGTTTCTTATGCAAAGCATATTTGAAAGTGTAAAAAAGACTGAAAGATTAAAAGCGCAAATCACGAAATGGAATGATTTTCGTGTAATAATCGAATCGGATTGTTGAAATTTGACATAGAGTCATATTTCATGAAGTATTAAAACATGGTAGTACTTGAAAAAAAAATGGGAACCATGACACCAAATGACTGAACAGTTTTCTGTGGAATTTCCCATATGACAGAAATATTTTTGTGACCAATTTTTGCAAGCAACACGAATCAAAAAGAAATCCGAAAGAAGGAGGATTAGTCATTATCATTTTTTTTTGTTCCATTTACTAACAATGACTTTATCATGCACACGAAATAGTATATTTCGTAACGAGTGCAAAAAAGTGTTTTTTGGCGAGTGATATAATCCCACGAGCTAAAAAACATTTTTTCACGAGTTACGAACAATATTTTTCATCACAATGTGGCGGAAATTGTACTTTTAGGAACGCGGAGCGTGCCGAAATGTTCACTTTTCGTCACAGCGTGATGAAAAATAATATATAGCTAGAGCATCAAGAACAAACAGAATAAAGATAAAATGGTTTGATTTTTGTGAATGATTTTCTAATAGTAACCTAAGAATTGATGACATCTTCATTTCAATGAAAGTATTGTACTTATATGAAATAAATAATTCAGTTGAAAAAAAAAATCCCGTTAAAAACTCATTAACCATTAATTTGATCCAAATAAAAAATTATTAGCCACTAATAAATTCTGTCTTTTTACCATCTAAACAATGATTTCACCGTTATTTGATGAAGTTTCTATTTTGATCAAGGAAACATTCATTTATACTATAAAATCGTACTATAAAATTATACTATAAAATTTATAGTTTAAGTTTGAATGAAAGCTCTATTACGAGCTATATGAATAACCACATTAAAATAACCCATTTCGTTGGATGCAGTGCGATTTAGTTACAATAATAATAATAATGCTCTGGCATTTAGATTCACAAAATGAATCCTACCATCGGTTATTTGATTTCCCATATAATGTCTTTATCGTTTTTCTTTTCCATTCTCATTTGATTTCAGACTTTTCACTCATTTATTTCTCACCGTCGGAAAATTAATGCAATTTACGTTTCCATTCAGGTGCATTTTCCAGGAAACTACCTTAATTAAATCTTATAATTCCAATTTACGAACCGTATAAATGAAATTGCAATTTCCAGGGGCCATTATTCATTTGATTAAATCCTTACACATTTATTATATCGAGGATTTTAGGAATGCTATACTCTCAAGCCTTCGATATATGCTAATAATATTCCTCTCAAGTATCAATCAATTCTGATACTGATTGAATATTCCATAATCCGGGAAATTCATCTGACGTGTTTCGAATGAAGAGGGATGGTTTGCTGGCTGTGAGCTGATGGTGAATGCTCAAGCACCTCAACATGAAATTTATGAATTTGAATTGTTCTTCTTTGAATCATTTAAAAGAATACATCGAGCTATAAGCCATGATTAAAAAATTTTGTTCATACTATGAAAAATAATTTTTACGAAAACTTAAAAATTGGAAGATACTGTAAGCACTTTGACATGAGTTTTCAATTTTTTGATCATATGTTTTTTTTTCAATTCAAGAGAAAAAAAATCCATCGAATGAGATTATCATTGACTTCAAATAACTTTTTTCAGAAAAAAATTATTTGATCATTTATTGATTAGAAATTTTTCGTCACAAATTAATATAATTTTTTTCAGGAAACCCAACAACTAAGTTATTTAGAATAGAGGATCCATATTCATTTTCAATTTTTAATTTTTTTTTTTCAATTGGAAAGAAAACAAATAACCTTATAATATTCGTCATGTCAATTTTTTACCATTTCTTTTTCTAAAACAAATTATTTGATCATTTACATCGAAAAATTTCTAAGCAAATTGATATAAAAATATTTTTCAGAAAACTTAAAAATTTGTTATTATTGGAAATAGAACTCCGACATGAATTACCAATATTTTTTTTCAATTGCAGAGAAAAAAACGCTGGTAGTTTTTTTCCAAATGGATTTCTCATTGAGGATTTTACGAAAAAAAGGAAAAATTATTCGATCATGATTCAATTGAAGGAATTTTGTCTCAAGAAATTGATACAAATAATCCATTCATTGTACAACCAGTGAAATTTCATGTGCTGAACTCTGAAATCGTTACAATATCACAACTGCACAGATGCTCGTCAACTCGTTGAATGGAATTCCCCATCCGCAATTTTTTTTGTTGGAAAGAATACAAATAACCTGATAATATTCATTCATTGTATTAATGCTTTACCAATTTTTTCTTTCTAAAAAAAATTATTTATTTGAGCATCATTTATTTCGAAAAAATTCTAAGCAAATTGATATAAATTTTTGTTTTTCAGAAACTCAAAAATTTGCAATTATTGGCAATAGAACTCTGACGTGAATTTTCAATATTTTTTTTTCAATTGAAGAGAACAAAAAAAGCTGAGTTTTTTCCAAATGGATTTCTCATTAAGAATTTTACGAAAAAAAAGAAAAATTATTCGATCATGATTCAATTGAAGGAATTTTAAATATAATAATAATAATAATAATTAGATACAAATGAGGAAGTTGTTCTGGACATTAACCCAATTTTTTTAAACTGCCGAGTTGGTCAGTTACAATAAATGAGGTATCACAGCGTAACCGAATTTACAGAGAAAGTGAGTTTGTCAGAAGCAAAAAAAAACACCCGGTCTCCCCGGGAACGCCAACGAATTCACGTATTTCTCACCTTCGTGTCGTTCTCGTTTATGTTTTTTGTGCTTCTTGGGGCCCATAGTCTGCTGTTGCGGCCACAGTTTGACGGTTTTCAAGGGAATCGACGTAGGTAAAAATAACAGACTGAGTCTCAGTGTGGAAACGACGCTAACGACGCACGGGAGTTACAACTTATGTTTTGTGTGTTAATTGTCGGCCATTCAGGATATCAGAATCCAGTCGACGCCATGTTGGAAAATTAGTTGAGATTGCAGACACTCTGCTACCACTGGCGCCATATGAAGAATGTCTACCGAATGAAAACAAACAATTAAAAAAAATCTCGGCAGAATGTGAAGGGGAGTTTTTCACCTGCAGGGGAATTTTTCAAATATCTAATTCGATGGTCCTTCACAACATTTCATACAAATTTCCCACTGGAATCTTTTTTTTTAATTATCTAAAGCTAGTGACTTTCTGCTGGTAAGGCAGTATCCGTGAGGTAACGATCAAATTCTGTCTATTGGTAATCGGCAGAGGCTGATGGTGTTGATGGAGTCCGAGAGATGGCAGCATCTGCTTCATTTAGAAAAGAATTACTTTGGTTCCAAAAAAATTTAGAAGGTTAGCAAGCAACGTGAGACAAGCCGTTTGACAGATTGTATGTGGGCAGATCTACGTAAAATCAGCAAGCCAAACAAGTCGATTCCGGGGATTTTTATCTCAAAGTTTTGTTTGGAAAAATGACGATTAGACAAAAATTTTGAAAAAATTAAAATTGCAAAATATTAATAATTGTGGGAGTTATGATTTTTTTGAAAATAGCTATTTTTTGTTCAAATTTTTTTTCCAAATTGGCCTCAATATTTTTGCGAGATTTCAAGCTATGAAATCGCTCTTTGGCACACTCAAAGAACATGAAAAACCCTTAAAAATATTGTCTTCTATTGTCTATATTGTCTTGAAAAAGCTATTTTTTTAAAGCTGAAATTTTCACCGAAAATTATTAATAAAATTAAAAGAATTTTGCCATCAATTAGAATTTCTCTTTAGCCGTAGTTCGGCGGTTATTATTTTTTTCAGTGGGACAAGAAAAAAATAATATTAGATAATAAATGATAAAAATAATATGTTACTGAAAGTCGCTATTATTAATGCAATCATCCCCCACATGAGTGAATATTCAATTGAATAATTAAAAATAAGTCAATGCGATCAAATTCTCGATTACCAACAATGAAAGCTGTTTGAAAAATGTATTACCATTCTATAATTAGAGAAATAATCATTTTTTACTCAATAAATCATACTGAAGATAAATAATAGAAGATATAATGAGTCTAATCTCCACCATTTCCTATTATTTAATTGTATATTGGCTTATTTGGGCAATAATTGGATGAATAATAATACTTGCCTCAATGAACAAATCCATAACCGCCGAACTATGCCGAAAGACGAACTCTAATTGACGCTAAAATTGTTGACATTGACAATTTTTCTTTCCAAGTAATTGGAAGGAAAATTTTCGACATCGATATTTTTAGCTAGCTATATATATATATATATACATGTATTTAATAAAATATTCTTCATTAAAAATTTTCAATTGGAAAGAATAATACATAGGAAGTTGGCAAATTTTTTATTACCATCGGCAAAAACTACTAGAATTTTCAGTAGAAGTTCAATGAAATTTTCAACCGACTGAATTGTGGTCCGAATATGATCGCGTGAAAATGAAAAAATCAGATTGCTATTTTCGTCCGTGGAACGATATAAAATTGTAAAAAAAAAGAATGATTTTCCCAAACAAGGGCAACGCATCAGAAGCACTTTATCCGTTTCTGCTGGATTCATGCATATGCAGTGATTCTGGAAAATAAAATCATCGATTTGGGAGCACTCGGCATATAGCCGGGAACGGATTAAATATTCAAATTCCATGATAAAAGAGGAACAATTTTTTTCCACGCATGAGTTGATGGATTTCATGCATTTTAACTAATATAAAAGAGACGTATACATATACGCTTAGAGCGTAGTTACGCTTTTTTGTAATTCGTTTATCTAGAAATAAATTGAAAATTCAAGAGGGAGGATTGAAATAAAGAGATGTGTGCATGCCGGAGATACGCATTTATGGGATTTTCTACCGATTCACCTGTTCATTGTTCAGACTTACATCTTTTTATCACAATAAAAAATTATCGCCCAAAAATTATTCAACAGAATAGAAAGTTTTATCCCTGAAGAAAAATAACATATGCCATTTTGCGATTTTATAGAAAGAAAAGTCGAAAATAAGCCCCCAGAGGCCAAAATAATTGATACATCGAGCTCTACACCAAGGTGTACCCGAGTAGAAAGTTCGTCGGGAGCCACCAATGTACATTGGGAACCTATTAGTTTCTTGCAGGTTACTGACTCATACCTGTAGGTTCCAACCGAACAATACTAGTAGGGATGATCATTGTGGGTGACAGATGAGTTTACCACCGATGACTAACTTATATAGCAACCCCTTACAACCCCTTTGTAACTTATTTGTCCCTTATAAAGTGTTAAAGCCATTTTATTGTCCAAGTCCGGCCAGGCATAACTGATCTTGTCAGAGAACCCATTAGTAACCTAAATAATGGTCAAAATCAAGGGTAAAAAATAAGGGTTAAAATCAAGGGTCAGAAATAAGGATCAAAAATGAACGTCAGAAATAAGGGTCACACGAGTCAGGAATAAGGATCAAGAATGAGAGTCAGAAAAAAGAATCAAAATTAAGAGTCACGAGGGTCCGAAATGAGTCAAAAATAAACATCAGAAATAAGAGTCACAGGGGTCAGGAGTGACGCACCCACAAAAGGGTAAAAATCAAGGGTCACCAGGGTCAGAAATAAGGTTCATTAATTGGGAAGGGTCATAATTAAGGTTTGGACAAAATCATATGTCAATCATCAGAGAATCCGAATCTTTGCCTTATCTAGAATATCTAAATGTTATATTCCCAAGAATCACAGGATAGTGGACTTGGACTTCAGCACAACAGATGATCACCAAAGTTAAGTAACATCGAGTAAGGTTCGGAATTGGATGGGTGACCGCTCACTGATAATGTGATTTATTTTTATTTTTCTGCATGTATAAACCGATTGTTATCAGTGGGCATGGTTTCCCATGGCAATTAATGAGTTATTCATCATTGACAAATTGTTAATAATAATGAGTAACTTGTGAGGTAACTACGTGACGTTTTCATGAGTTCCTTGTAGGTCGAAACCTGTTTGGAACCGGTGGTCATGTCGGTTGCATCTCATAGGTAACCGATGATAAACCGACGAAATTTCTACGGGTATTGAATCGATCAATACAAAATTTTATACATACGTCTGACTCAGTCATACCAATTAGTAGCCAGAATCTTAGATACTTATTTTAAATTTAATTGCCATTTAGTTGGCATTTAATCAGGGTTCAATCAAGATTTAGTCAAAGCTTAGCCGGGCTTCAATCCGGGTTTAGTTAGGGTTCTGTCAGGATTTAGTCAGAGTGTAACCCAGTTCTAATCGGGAGTTCATCGTTACATTAGGGCTACGCACGAGACCGGGACTAATCTCGGACAAAAAACGAAAACAAAAATGCAAAAAACGAAAATTTCAACTCTGAGGCATTCCTAAGGGCACAACAGGATTGCAAATTTCTTTTGGAATTGAAAGCAATTTGATTTAGAAAGCTAGCTTTACTAGTTGATAAGACATACCTAAAAAACGAAATAATTTTTGTTGTTTAGAACTGAGTTTTTGTTATTACTTTGGACATGACCATGTTTTCTTTGTTGGCTTCGATGGGCACTCAAGCCTCAATCAATGAATAAAAATGAGTTGAATTTTCAAGTTTTTATGTCAATCGAATGAATGTGATAAGCACGAGAAGAGTGTTAGTGCTGTTGATTTAATAATTACTTTGTTGAGTTCATGGTGAATCAAATGAGAAAGCGCCAGAACTGTATAGTTCATGGGTATTTATATAAATAATGTGATTGACATTCGTGACTTTAACGCGATGGTCATTTTGAACTTCCGTCTTAGGGACTAGCGTTTATCCCGAACGGTTCTCCACGCTTCTAGTGGCGTCATCAAGAAATACACACAGTGAAATATGATTATTATTCTGCGAATACTCGGTAAATCAATTATTTCTACCTCTTAGATTGAGCCTTAGATAATAAATATAATCATTACCCGAGAATGGATCGCGAAAAATCAGAATGTAGTATTTGGCAGCTCACGGTGAGCTAGACAAATTATATTGAATATTGCACATTAGTTCTTTGTTTATTCTCCAAATTATGACGTTAAATACTTCCGATTAATTTCAAGAAAATGAAGATTCAAGGAAATTGTACTTCATAATCGGTCCTAAATAAGTAACGAGATACGCAGGTGAATAAATGACCGGCGGGCCAATTACGCATTCATTTTTGAATACATGAATGTAGGAAGAAAATCTCGCAGGTAAAACTAATTGAGGAAACAGGACATTCTAATTTCTTGGCCTCGTTGCCTGTTTTCTTGTTATTGGGTGTTTTCTTCTGCCCATCCCTGGTCGTTCTCCGAGAATCATCAAGAACTACTAATGTGTAAATATCTCTTGATTGAAAAACAAGACGTAAATCAGTGAATTACTATATAAATTATCTTACGCGATATTATCTTTGGCGTTATATAATTATCTTACTATTCAAATGAATAAAAAGAGCGATACCGCATTTCCAAGACTCATTCTCTTTTCGTGAGAATAATAAAAGTTCATCGACTGTTTCATTTTCCAAAGGCATAGACATTCATTACCAGCATCATTATGAATGAAAAAATAACTCCAGAGCTTGGAATTAAATGGCTTTGAAATGGACCTTGGATTATATTTATGTGGCCTCCGCATTCCAAAGCAACATGCCTTACAGAAATAAAGTCTCCAAATCTGCTGGTGGGTTTTTTGGATTATCTTCATATTATTCACATATTCTCTACTCGGCACAGCACGGGTAAGACGGGAAAGTACTGTAATATTCATTGAAATAGCGAGCGCAGCGATCAGCCTGATTCATGTCTTCGTGAAAATGATCATTGTTAAATTTCATTTTCATCGATTTTAGGTGAGTACTGGTGTGAGAAAAAAATATCTGGATGAAGATATGTTTTACTGTATTTAATCCTTGAAATTGATGATAAGTTCAATTTACAGCA